TCTGCGTACAAAGCAACATTTTAACCTTTAAAAAATCCCCCCTCCAAATAGAGGTCCGTATTATATTCCAGGTTATGTTGAACTAAAATCCTCTAGTTTATAGTAAGTTGTTATAGTGGGAGGGATTTGATGGTAGACTAACCCCTGGCTCGACACATATTTGAATAGGTGAACAAAGTGTTTTCATTAGAATTTGAGTGAAAAGAAAGTATATGCTTACTGAATTTATTTAATAAATTCAATACATTTTAAAATACAATTTGGTGTGGCGGCGAATATAGCCTGAAACTTACATTTTAACTTGAAGACGTCCAGTCGCCTTGTACTCCAGTATATACGGTACCATTGTTGGGGCACCTCGACGTGGTGTAATGGTTAGGAAGCTTGCCTTGCTAGATCAATTACGACTGAGTAGTGAGTTCGATCCTCCCTGGGTACCCCATACTTTCGTCCTTGTGCCACATCTAAGCCGGGCTTAGAAAATCGCTATACTGAGGACGCCGTGGTTCAAAAATATTCTGATAAATTTTGAAGTAAATGAAGCATTGATGCGCGTAAATACAGAGTACGAGTCTACCAAAAAATGATAAAATAGAACCCTATTAAAAAAAAACATCATCTTGCCAGAGAGTAATTTTTATGTCGGAGGTGGCTTGGTAATTAGGCACTAATTACCAAGCCACCTCCGGGGTCTATGAGTAAAAAGGGAACTGAGTTACCTACGGACACTTGGGACGTTTCGTATAAACGGAAACGGTTTTGCGGATGACATGTGCAGTTCCGCAGAAGGCAATTTCTCTGCGTTTCTGATGTGTCCCCAGGAATTTTACTCATATGATTTTCGGTACCCTTCTTTATCACACCCAATAACCCCACCAAAACAGCGATAACTGTACTTTTAAGTTTCCATTTTTTATTACTTCGTTTTGCAGGTCCTTATAATTTGACAGTTTTTGAAATTTATTTTTAGAAACATTTTGCGGGCAAATCATATCAATCAATTAGCAAGTTCCTTTTTTAAAAAATGTCTTTTATACCTATGTCTGGTCAATTTGTATCAATTTTCCTGTCTGTGATGATTGTGAAATTCCACAGTATAGTCACTCCATCACTATTTGGGACATCTTTGTTCCATGGATCCGGGACTTCAATAGCATAGTTCGAACAGACATGCCAATGAATATATTATCCTAACCTGTCATGTCTAATAATGTATTTTTTCTCAACAAGAACTGGGCAATCTGATACTATGTGGTCAACAGTTTCATAAAATTTATGTCATAAGCGACAGGCAGGATTTCAGCCATCTTTTTTTTTTATTTTAGCTTTGTATGCATTAGCTGGAAGACATTATTATTATTATTATTATTATTATTATTATTATTTCATTTCCTTTGATTTCTGATGTGTACCGCTTTCTTTCCGGGTTCCGACCAGGGACCTAAGGTCAAAATGGCATCATGACACTCTCCACTGACAAAAAAAAAATTTACATAGATATTTTATTTCCTTTGATTTCTGGTGTGTACTTCTTTCTTTCCGGGTCCCAACCAGAGACCTAAGGTCAGAAATGGCATCATGGCATTTTCCACAGGGCAATTAAAAAAAAATCACACATATTTTGCATAGATAAAGCCCTTCGTAAGGTGTAGGCTGTACTTGTGAGAACATTTTTTTTGTATTTCTTTAAGGTATGGGCTTCCAGGAATCCCTTCAGTGAGTCTATTGGAATCTTTTCCAATCAATCCGAGGGCTCTAACTACAATTGAAATTGTTGATGTTCTCATGTGCCACATTTTTGAGATATCGTTTTCAAGGTTTTTGTATTTTGATAGCTTTTTGAAATCCTCAAAGATACACTGCCGTCTACAGGGACCACCATGTTAATGAGGAGGCACATTCTAATCTTTGTGGTCTCTAATCACTATGTCTGGGCGATTAGCTTTCATTGTTCTGTCTGTGTGTATTGTGAAGTCCTATAAAATTATTACAGGTCCTATCTCCGGAACCGGGTCTGGGTGGTGTTCATACCAATTTCTTTCAGTTTCCTTTCGTAGAAGTTGCAGATTTTTCAGTGCAGATATTGGACCACTCTGTTAGGCCGGGTTTTATATTCAGTGCCAATACCGTGCAACATGATACAAGATGATCAATTGTTTCAGTATGTGTGCTTGATAATTTCTAGTTAGCAAGCATTGATCCTGTGCAGCAAAATAAAGCCTTCGGTTTCAGCTTTTAACTCTGCCCTACGTAGCCACTAATGGGTACGGGTTTTGTCTACGTCAGCTTGTTTATTATTATTATTATTATTATTATTATTATTATTATTATTATTATTTCCTTTGATATCTGGCGTTTACACATTTCTTTCCGGGTCCCGCTGAGGGACCTAAGGTTAGAAATGGCATTATGACACTTTCCACTGACAAAAAAAAAAAAAAAAAAAAATTACATAGATAAAACCCTTCGTAAAGTGTGGGCTGTACATGTCAGAACAATTTTTTTGTATCTCTTTCTTCCGCAAGTTTGTTCGTTTTCAAACGGAGACCTTGCATTATAGATGTTCCCCGTCAAGTCGTACGACCTCAAACAGATCCCGTCCTGGGTAAGACGATAAACTACATCTGCGTCCTGGGTAAGACGATAAACAACGTCTAACAGCAAGGACTCTGATCAGGAGATTTTGAGGAGCGTGGAACCACCTCTTAATTGCTGGTGTCCCCAGGTCTACCCTGATCCGAGTTGGTAACAGTTGTTAGGGTCCCAGCTATGGGCAAATAGTTAACACGCAAACTCGGGTCAAAACACTATGAAAGTGTAAAAATAGGTTTTAATACCAGCAATACATTTTTGTAAAAAAGTATTGCCATCAATGGACATTTGAAGAAAAAAATATTACCAGCAATATATTTTTGGAAAAAAATATTACCAGCAATAAAAATCTTGTCTGCATTAAATAATCCATTGAGTTTGATATGCCGTAAAACAAAATAAACCAAACCAATATATATTGGGATAGATAGATAGATAGATAGATAGATAGATAGATAGATAGATAGATAAAAAATATTACCAGCAATAAAAATCTTGTCGGCATTAAATAACCCATTGAGGTTGATATGCCGTAAAACAAGCCAAACCAAACCAAACCAAATCAAACTCAAACAGATAACACCTTTCACAGAAGTTATTCTGATTTTATTGATGTAGGTCATTAGGTTCGTTGGTGTAAATCCCATCGCCCTAATGATAACGGGGCGGGAGTGGATACTGTCCAGATCGTCCACATTCCGACAACCTCAGTCCGTAGGTCAGTGTACATTTTAATCTTTTCATTTTATTTAACCGTGATATTATTGTCACCTACAATAGCCATAACGATGAGGAAGCCTCCAATTTTTTTTTTTTTTTTAAATAACCTATGTCTGGTTTGGTAAAATCAAACATCCAAACCTATTTAATGTTGAAATCCCATAAATAACCTTGAAATGTTCGTTTCTGATCAGCTTCTCTGGGTTTTGATGGTGCCATCTCTGTTTGACTTCAAGTTCATACTTCTTACGTAGACACCAATTCAAAGAAAATCATTTTTTCGTAATCTTAGATTCTTTCTGGAATAGTTTCCACATGCGCTAATTATGTGACATTTAAAAGAAAACCTTGCCAAATGGACTACAGCAATAAAATTCACTGTCGGTATATATTCTTTTTGACCTGTGTTTGTATTATAATCACATGTCGAGTCATAACCAATGAACTGAGGTAAATGAAAAATAATTGTATTTATTTACATCTATTACCAAAAAAAACGTAAATGGACAAAGCTTTTCGCACGAAATGGATTCTGCTTGTTAGAACTTTTTGGGAATTTCCTGGACAGATGGCGCACAAGGGACTATATATATATATATATATATATATATATATATATATATATATATATATATATATATGTGATTGATTCTTCTGTCGAGTTCAACGTATGAGGTTTTTCGACGACCACGAACTAATTATCTGCATGTCTATGACTGGAGGACATTTTTGCAAACCGGCACGAGAATTACGCAAAAGACCACAAACAGTACAGGAGAATGTATTGTATCCAAGTGCAACAGGAACAATGTTAATTGTCTTATTTGCTTTCGTGTTTCACGTAGTCGACTGATGCTTACTCCTTGTTGGTGCATTATTCCTGAATGGCATCGACAACGATACTCTCGTCTCATCATAGCTACCTTTTCAAACTTCTTGAAAGGAATGTTGACCCAAATAAAATAAATTGCTTTTCAATTTATCTTTATGCGAGCGAAGGTCAACCAACACTGTATATATATATATATATATATATATATATATATATATATATATATATATATATATACTATAATTATTTATTTAAATATATGATTCCAACACGCTACATAAGAGTTCTCATGTTTCAAAACAAGAGCCAGCTTCAATATAATTATTTGAATTAAATTGAATTAAAGTAAGCTCTGTTCCGTCTTCAACTCTTATGTAGCGTGTTGGAATCATGTTTTTAAATAAATAATTATATTTATGCTCTACTTTTGTATCGAGCACTAATTCTTTTTTTAAATAATAACAAAAATACTAAAGAACTTTGGATTATTTACCTAACGAGTTCTTTCCTATTTTCTATATATTTTTCACACACACACACACACACACACACACACACACACACACACACACACACATATATATATATATATATATATATACAAAAGTGAACATTGAAGTTAACACTTAGAGGCGACAGGCTGTTTCATGCTAGACGCAATCGTCAGGCCACCGTCCACCATGAAACAGCCTGTCGCCTCTGAGTGTTGACTTCTATGTTCACTTTTATATTTACACGTTCTATCTCTGATCAATAGTTTCAATATATTGGTCACAGAATCTGCATTTTGGTTCTGTACCCTTATGCAAAATATTAGCTTGATGGTTGCGTGTGAGCAGACTCTGGTCCTGTGCAGCAAGGAAAGAACCTTCTTCTTCTTCTTCTTCTTCTTCTTCTTCTGCTGCTGCTGCTGCTTCTTAACAACAACACCTTCTTCACAACACCTTCTTCTTCATCTTCACAACAACAACGCTTTCTTCTTCTTTACAAGAACAACACCTTCTTCTTCTTCTTCACTATCACCTCCTACTCCTCCTCCCCCTCCCCCTCTTCCTCCTACTACTATTATTTGGTTTCTGTTGTATACACATTTCCTACCGGGTGTCAAGCAAAAACCAGAAACCTATGGTTGTCATGACATTTTCCACTGAACGTTTTTATAAAAAAAAAAATGAAACTTAAGATAACACACATTTTACATAGATAATACCTTCTTAAAATATGAGCTGTACTGGCGGGAAACATTTTTTGTTGTTTCTTTAAGGCATGCGCTACCAGTAATCTCTTTAATCAGGAGTCTATCAGAACCTTTTCTAATCAAACCCAGAGCCCTAACCACAACTGGAATTATTGATGTCTTCATGCGCCACAATTTTTAAGACTTCCAGATCCTTTCATTTTTTATATATTTTTTTGAAGATCTCTAAATGTTACATTAGCCTGCAAGAAATACCATCTCAATAAGAAAGCATATTCTGGTTTTTGTAGTCTTCGATCACCATGTCTTGTGCAGGATTATTATTATTTTTACAACTAATTAGCATGACACAGTGTTTATAAATACACCGAAACCTATAACTGATATTTATTTATCTGTATATTTATCACAAATTCCTTGTATTATTTATTTATTTTTTAGCTGACACGTCTTTTAAACATGTATTACTTTAACCAAAATGGTGTTTTCTTTTCGTCTTTAATGTCATGGGATATTGTTTGAGTGACATTCTGATTTGCGTTCATACTTATCCATTTAACAATACTACTAAGCCTTTCGAAAACCTCCACCGCCACCACCACCAACAACAACATTTCACAAAAAGTTTTCAAGATCATAAATCACCTACTGACATAATCTATTTGTTAACGCAGTTACTTACCTCACCTTTATGTATGCATGCATGAACAGAGAACGATACAAAAACTCGCAGGGTTTTTTTTATACATAAATATGTCGCGACAAGGATTATCTACAAAAATAGGTCTCTCTATTGAGATGTGTGAAAGAGATGTGTGAAAGCGATGTGTTTGTTTCTATATGTTGTTTGCGGTTTATTACGCTTAGCTTACTTTTGTACAAGACAACATCTATAGGGCATCAAGTAAGCGCCGAATTTGCAATGATCCTATTGGCTGAAAAAAAAAAGAAGATAAGCACCGTATTTAAAAAAAAAAAAAAGAAACGGTTAATTTTCTCTAGAAACAAAGAAAATAGTACTTTTACGTGATATGTCTTCCTATATGGCATCTTCTTACAGATGAAGAAGAGACGTGAGACTACAGAAATGCAGTTCTACAGAAGGATGCTGAGAATATCTTGGACTGAATATTGAAACAAAAAGGCTCCTTATATCTAACACCAGAAAGAGACAGTTGAAATTTCTAGGGCTCATATAGATAAATCCCTTCCAAAAGTTAAGTAAAGTATTTAAAAACGGAAAAATGTTATTAGAAACAAAGAAAAGAGTACTGAACTGTTACGTGATTTGTCTTCCTATATGGCAGTGAATGCTGGACGATCTCATCAAAGATTAAGAAGAAACTTGAAACAACAGAAATGTTGTTCTACAGAATGATGCTGAGAATATCATGGACTGAATATGGAAACAAAAAGGTCCCTTATATCTGACATCAGAAGAAGACAGTTGAAATTTCTAGGGAAGAAGATTTGAGACTCACATGAGATGTTGAAAGCAAAATCGATAGAGGAAAACAGGGTATTCAACTGTAATAGCTTCATACTCCTCCACGGACTTTGATTAGAGTTTTATCCCTGTTTAGAATTGGGTTTCCGGTTCCTTCTAAAGTCTTTTTCATTCTTTTTCACTCCCAATAGACCGTTGTCTTAGAGGCATTTTCGCATTGCTTGGGGTGAATTGATTTAAAAAAAATAACTTATCTAACGACCTGTGTAAATGGATGGCAGTAGAGTATTTAGAAGACAGCGAAAGACAAACATTTGTAAGAGCTACAAAATATAGGAAATTGTGGAGAGCCGACGCCCTGAAAGAACATGACATGTTTTATATATAAAATAAAATGTTTGTTCACTACTGGACTCCGTCAAATTAACGTCGGCAGAATCGAGTAGTATGTGGTTTCGGGTCTTTCTTCAAACGTTCGATCTTCTTCCATGCCAAAAGAAAACAACAACACACTGCAATCACACCGACCACCACACAACCAATGCAAACACGAAACAGGCCAAATAAATAGACCAACAGACAACTACCAGCACCACAACCAACAATAACGACACCGTCAACGATATAGCCATAGCCTCAAAACAAACACACACACACACTAAACAAACCAACCAACTTTTAAATTTATTCTTATTTCTGTCTTTCAAACATGCACAAACCGAAACACAACAGCACTTGTACGGAACGCATTACACATCCCAAATCACCCAGATTAGCCCCTAGTAGACAATCAACAGCAAACACTTATTGGGTAGGTGTGAGTATTTTATCCTCTCCCCAAAAACTTATATATATATATATATATATATATATATATATATATATATATATATATATATATATATATATATTTTAATTTATATTTATGGGATAAAGGGCTCAATATCAGAAGGTATGTAAATATAAATAAAATCAACACTCCAAAAGCGATAAATAATTTCATACTACAGCCTGTTGCCTCTGAGTGTTGATTCCGGTAAAATTCAGTCATATATATATATATATATATATATATATATATATAAAAGAGTGAAAAAGAAATGAATCCAGATAAACTTAGAATATATATATATATTTTTCCTCCCTCCCTCAATACTAAGTATGATAGAAAGAAATATTAAAATATACCCTCTCTAAACTCGACCATGTCTCTCACACCACCCTCCTCACCCTCTCTGTTATTCAATTATATAAATTTTACTACCCGTCAAAAGTGTAAATTTTCATTTCATTTTCGTTTCACCTTTTGGAAGTGATGTCTGATGATCCAGAGAAAATTAAAAGTCTCTGGTGAAATAAACTATTACAATGGAGCCTTAAAGTGGTCTGTTTTCTTTAAATTATTAGCTCTGGAATTTACATTGAGCTCTCAGGATTTCATCCTCCTTGGGACTACCCATACTGATTACCAAGTTTTTCGTAACTTAATTACATATATATATATATATATATATATATATATATATATATATATATATATATATATATATATATTCCAGTTTAGCTGGATTCATTTCTTCTTCGTAAGTGCGTCAAACGAAATCCTTTTGGTGGCTTTGAGTCCACCTTCTAATTCAACCCTTAGGGATTTTAGACCTTTTGACATTGTGGATTGACACCGAGTACAAATTTTACTTTGTTATCTTAGAGTAAATCCATTATATAACACATCAGCTCATCTTAGATCAATATTTTAACAGTATTAAAAGTAAATAATAATACAAAAGTATTATTAAAGAAAATGCATAGCGTTACATGGGAGCACCTTTCAAAATCTGGCAACTGATCTCCTCTCTGAGTTAGCTTTAACAGCTCAGTGGGAGAAAACTAAAAACAAATATTGTGCCGTTTTATAATAATCGATCCGACCTTGAATTTTCGCCTATCGCAATGAACGGTTGTTATCTCAGGGAGGCTCTCTGTCTTGAGCGCCTGTTGAGGCTTATGCTTATCTCAGATATCAAGTGGAACTCGTATATATGATCCATCGCTAAAGATATTTGAATAAATGGTAGGTTCCGTGTACCGCTCCAGTAATTACCTGACTCGTACTATTATCCTTTAGCTTTACATGAACCAGATCAGGCCGAAAATAGGCAGTAACTGTCCAGTCTTCATTTTCCAGTTTCGATAGGATTCAAAAGCGTCTCTGCATCCTTGTGGGTGATGTATTATTTTCCACCCTATAAGCTACGTCGAAAAAAACATCGCAAGCCTCTCGCTTCACTATCACTATTTCTATGGAAAGTATTCAGCCGAATAACATTCCTTTGTTCCCCCGGTTCTGATCTTTATGTCGTCCTGGGTATGATGATAAACTACATCCGGCAGCGAGACCTCTGATCGAGAGATTGGAAGTTCTAAAGAGCGCGGAATGACCTCTTAACTGCTATTGTTTCCAGATCCACTCTAACCCGGGGAGATAGCACCTGTTAGGGTCCCAACTATAGGCAAATAATGAAAGCCCAAACAAAAATCAACAGTAAATTTTTATAATTAAATGAGCAACAATACATTTTTATTGCAAAATGACAGTCAATGCAAACACTAAAAAACTTTAAAAATACATTTTCATAGTAAAATCACCAATAATACATTTATCGATCTACAATATATATATATATATATATATATATATATATATAAACGTACCTTTACCCTGAAATTACAAAATTATATGTACAAAATATCTGTCTTTAAATATCTGTTTTTCTTTAAGAAAATTTACCTCACACACACACACACACACATATATATATATATATATATATATATATATATATGTATGTGCATGTTTCATTAAATAATATAGACAAGTTTTGTCTATTTATTTTAAGTAAGTTCCTTTCATATTGTCTGATAATCTTAGTCATATTATCGTTGAAAGAAACATTTAAGACATTTAAAACAACATGCCTGGTCGCGTACTCAATTCCGGAAAATCTTTGTTGACAACACAACTATACTTAAACATGAAAACAATAAACAAAAATTTAAAATTCTTGAAGCTATATACATAAAACAGTTGAAACCTAACCTGAACAAAATAAACTATGACATCTCCACAAATATCCTTAAATGCCTATAATTTATAACAGAAGCCATTGGTTTATACCAACGGCTTCCCATACTTAATACCTCTCGGTTTTCACTCTCGCGTGGTCATGTGTGACGTCACGAGCTGCGACGCGATTTTTGCTTCCGCGTCTCGTATATACAAGTTTTTCGTTACTTGGAAATTTTCATGTAGCAAGGGTGGATTATCATTGTTGTTTCATCCATTATTGTTTGATTTATTGAAATTGTCATCTTTGATAATGGCTTATGTAAGCTGAAAGCTTAGATTGGATTTAAACATGTATCAATATGGTGTTTTCCTTTCGTCTTTCAACGATAATGTGATTAAGCTTATCAGACAATAAGAAAGGAACTTAATTAAAATAAATAGACAAAACCTGTCTATATTATTTAATGAAACATGCATCAATGAAAAATTACTGCCTAAATATACAATATATATATATATATATATATATATATATATATATATATATATATATATATATATATACTGAACCCCAAATAAAAATTAACAGTATTTTCTATAATAAAATTATAAATTTATCAATTATAAAATTATCAATATTACATTGTTATAGCAAAATGACAATTCAACACTAAAAGTGTATAAATTTCGTCATCGCCAGCTCCTGCTCGTATCCAAGCATCATAATTGTCATCCTCTCCTTCTAATTTAAGAGCCTGCATCTTCAAATGTATGTAAAAAAAAAAGAAGAGAAAAGAAAAGAAAAGTAAACACATACACACGTCACGCCTCTCCTGTGTTAAAACAATTTTTTCCACATCACTACAATTACCAGTTCTACAAAATTAACCATCCTGATGATGGCTTATGGAAGTCAAATGCTTGGACCACATTTCTTCAAAAATGATCTTTGGACAATTTCTGATGAATTTCCTCCTTATTTAAGAAGGAGTATTCGTAATTTGGAAAAGTTGATCAATGAAATTAATCTTTGTCTTTAAATATCTGTTACTTTAAGAGCATTTGCCTCATACATATCTATCTATCTATCTATCTATCTATCTATCTATCTATCTATCTATATATATATATGTGTGTGTGTATATGTCACATATGTGGTGCAGTTCAATTTATATTACAATGAATCATTCATACAAAAAGTAAGTAAAGTTAATGATATAAAATGGCGAAATCCCTTCGCTAACAAAATTTTAAAGGTGCATTAACCTACTAATCACTCGATGAATGTTATGATCTTTGTTTTTTATATTATAAGCTGAATAAGGTTTTTCTTAAATACGCGAGTACTTTCGACTGTACATTCAGCCATCTTCAGGCATGGAAATTATTTTGTTGTTGATATTATTCAGGTAGAATCTGAGACGAAAAAATATAATGCGAATCGAAATATATATATATATTTTAAATGTGTTACTGATAACGGATACAAACTTGTGGAGCGTGCAGTCGCAACGCTAAGGTTCAATTTTTTTCCGTCTCGGATATCTTTAGTATTGCAAGGAGTTTTGTTGGTCTCTCACTCAACTGCACCCCACACATAATAATCAAGGATGTTACAGTCTGGGTAGTTAGGTGGTCAGATATAAGGGGTGATATGGTCACAGAAATTGCCTGACAGCTATGACTGGGTTCTCCTGCTTATGTGACATGGTGCATAGTCCTGTTGGAAACAAAGTGTATTCCAGCAGCCATCCTACCTGCCCAGGAAGCACTACTTCCTCAAGGCACTTGATGTAGGCCTCTGTGTTGGCATAACATTGCCATCACTGGTGATCACTCCAAACACCATGATCTTGACTGGATATATCATCCAACTCAAAATAGCTTAACATGGATATTCCACAGGTATTGATATCTAAGATACTCTTGTGTACCAAGTATAAATGCCAGTACAATTAAATTGTTTCCATCAATTTTCCCTCATCCTAGGTATGATGATAAGCTACACCTGGCAGCAAGGCCTCTGATTGAGAAATTGGAGGTTTGAGGAGTGTGGAACCACCTCTTAATTACTGTTATTCCCAAGTCCATTCTGATCTCGGGTGGTAGTACCTGTTAAGGTCTCAGCTATGGACAAATACTGAACCCCAAATAAAAATCAACAGTACATTTTTATAATAAATTTACCAATAATACATTGTTATAGTAAAATAGCAATTAATACAACACTAAAAATGTAATAAAATCTTTTATAGTAAAATTACTAGCAATACATCTTATATATAAAGTACAGTGTGTTTCTGCGTGTGTGTGTCCAAGCAACTCCTTCGCTCCCACTGGTCCGATTTCAATGATTCAGAGCTCATTCAAAAGCCCTACAAAAGTTAGGCGCAGTGAATGATTTTCAGATTCAGGGTTACTAGATTATACGAGGTGAAAAAAAAAATATTAATATATTATTCTAGCCATTATCTTTGCTTTTATGATTGAAGGAGAGTAACTCCTTTTTTCTTTTTGCATTCAAAATTGCAGCTAGCTTAAAATTTTCTGTGGAGGACTCTTAGTTTGGCCATCATCACAATAGCCAGGGAGGAGGAGATTCTTTTATTCGAGGATTGTTTTGATTTTCATATCGAAAATAATTGTTTAAGAATATCGTCTTATATAGTTCAGAAAAGTGTTTGAAATTTGTATTTTACTTGGCCTTCAACAAATTGGCATCTATTTGTAAAACTTTCCCTAACTAGGACAAGCCAATTTATGAATGAAATGTTCATTTAAAATTTTAATTTCAAAGATTTCAAGTAGTGAATATATCTTACTTTGCGAAGCGATAACGAGCAGGCAAAGGCTGCTAGTTTTTTTATAAAACAAATTACCAACAATACATTTTTGTAAAATTACTAACAATGCATTTAAAAAATACCAACATTTTATGATATATTTAAAAAAGACTTACCTTTACTCTGAAAGTATAAAACTGCGTACTAAATACCTGTAGCCGAGGCCATAAAACTACGTAAAAAATATTTAGATTTCGGCATTAACTAAGATTGATAAGCCGCCTAACAAAATCAGCCAACCAATTAAGATTCACGGCCAAAAACCTAACCCTGACACTCCCATTGTAGCGTTCACCCACAATCCCGTCGTATTCCACTCGAACTGCTTTCTTTCACGAATACTTTGTGGAGCAGTCTGATAAGGGTTATATCAAGTACATGTATCACAGCCAAAAGTGTGCGATACGATGACAGGTTTTGAAAAACAAACAAACAAAAAAACATCGCATAATTTTGCAGATGAGGCTTAGTTAGGAAGAGCCACGGTGGAGTAATGGCTAGCGGATCGGATTGAGGAATCGGAGAGTCGAATTTTTATTCCAGTCGAATCAATTACATTCACTTACGTTCTAATAACCTCGAGAAAGGTATGAATTCTCTTCTCTCCCACCCGTCCCAGCTATGGGTAAATAGCAGGATAGGCCGGGTTCTAAAGCCTTGGATTGCAACTGGTCTACCGCAGAAAGAAATGGCATCCTACTGCGGGAAAAAAATATGCCTCGTCAGTCATGTATCAAAAGATACATGATCGCCTAAGCTGGTATCACGCATGGTTCATAACTGAAATGATATTCAATTACGCGCTAATACCCTTGGGAAAGGTATGAATCCTCTTCTACCCCCCCCCAGCTATGGGTAAATAGCATAGCAGACCGGATTCTATAGCCTTGGATGGCAGAAAGAAATGGCAAAATACTGCGGGAAAAAATCTGCTTCGTCAGTCATGTATCGAACGATACATGATCGCCTAAGCGTCTATCATGCATGGCCCATAACTGAACTGATATTCAATTACGCTCCGCTTTATCGAGACGGGATACATTGAAGATTTTTGTTTCATTAATCTCACTATTCATACTTTCTAAAAAATTTCAGTTATTTTTGACGGCCCAGGTACACTAGTATTAATATTAGTTCCCGATTGAAATGAATCGTTTAACTTTCCTGGGTATGACGATAAACTACATCCTTCAGCAAGGTCTCTGATCGGGAGGTTTTGAGAAGCGCGGAACCACCTCTTAATTGCTGGTGTTCCCAAGTCCACTCTGACCCGGGGTGGTAGCACCTGTTAGGGTCCCAGCTATGGGCAAATAGTTAACCACAAACCGAAGTCAAAACACTATGAAAGTGTAAAAATAGGTTTTAGTACCAGCAATAAATGCTTGTTGGGGAAACACGGTGGAGTAATGGATAACGATTCAGATTTAGGAATCGGAGGTTCGAATTCCACTCAAATCCATTGCATTCACTTCGCACAGCCAGGCATTGGTTCCAGGAGTTCAGATCGGAAGATCTGTCCCTTTCTGCTTATCCCCGCAGTAGCCGACTACAGGCCCTGAATAAGGAGGCACTGAAAGCAGCAATAGACGAGGACAACAGGCAAACCTGTGGTGAGCTTGCCAAACGCTTCCAGGTTTCTGATGAAACATACTTCACCTACATCCTTGTGCAAATTAATTAAAACAACCGTTTTAGTTTCCTTTCTTTCACCATACAGTCAATTTTAGACCCACTGGAGTGACAGGGTGTAATCGATTTCTATTTTTTTCCTCAGATCAGATCATTTGCAGTGATGTGCAGTAATATGAATCTATTTTCCGGGTGTATGATGAGATTTGTTTGGTCTTGAAAAATATTGCTGCATCCGTGATTGCCTCAGATTTTTTTTTTATCTCGCCCAGACACTATTGTCTCGGCTGTCAATTAGTTGTCCTACGGTCATTGTCTGTAATGAACGTTAGCCCAAGGAAAAGTACGAAAATTGTAACGGTGCACGAAAACACTGGCAAGCCTGACGAGTGAGCAAATCAAAATACTATAGACTGAACCGGAACCTCTCCTGATTTAAATCCGACCGAGAATCTGCGGTCAATCTGCAAGGATCTATTTCGTGGAATGGACATACGAAGTACTAAGATGTGCACTGGGTCATGTTTCATTGGGAAAATGCCCTCCCCACCCAAAAAAAAAATAATAGCGGAATTATTCGTTTTGTTTCAATTAATTTGCACAATGGTGTACACCGCGCACAGGGAAGGCGTACAAGTTGGTCAAATGGGTACCCACATACTGTCGGAAGCCAACAAGCAATAACGAGTGACAGCCTATTTTTCCTTGCTTTCTCGGCACCACAACGTACCCATATTTGATCGAGTGCTCATCAGTGACGAAAAGTGGGTCATGTATGACACCCACAAGCGTACCAGATATTGGTTGTCAGCACGGAATCCTGTACCTCAAACCACAAGGCCAATCTACACCCACGCAATGTCATTCTCTGAATCTGATGGACTAGTCAGCAAGTGATGCATTACGAGCTGCCACCAACGGGCCAAACCATCACTGCGGATCTATACTCGTAGCAGTTGGAACGTGAGCAACAGGCACTGAACCAGAAGGAGCCTGCATTGCTTAATCTCAAGAGTTTACTGTTCCTGTATGACAATGAAAGGCGTCATGTGTCACGGGTGGCCAGGGATACCATACGGCGACTTGGTTGGGAAACACTGTGCTATCCACCTTACACCCCGGGCCTTGCGCCAACTGATTACCACCTCTTCCTATTCCTTGGACAACCGCCTCCTTGGGAAATCCTTCGCAAATTAGGCAGACTTGTGGTAGGCGCTTACAGACTTCTTTGCGCCCAAGATACCTGATCCTTACCGCCAGGGCATTGGGCAGCTGGGAGCACGTTTGCAAAATGTTCTGGATGCCGATGGGAGTTAATTTGAGGACTAAATGTATGCCAAATTTGCTATATGCCTTTTTTTTAATAAATAAAAAAAGGCAAGGACATATTTCGGTAACCTATATATCCTATATGTAATATTATCAAGGTTCTTCATTTGGAAGTGAGTTTTCGAAGCAAACGACTGACCAGAACTGGTACTGCTCTCAGTTTACTTGAGGACATCGACCAAGGAAAAGTATGCATCTAAATTTGGTTAAGAGAAAGTTTGTTCCATATTCCACCTGGATAATGCCAGATCTCTGTACAAACCAAAATTGTTAGAGATTGACTGGCATTAGTAAATTTTCACTAATTCACTATATTCAGCATTTATTGTACCTTAGGAATAGAATCTATCTATTCAGTTTGTCTTAATTGTCTCGAAGTCTG